CAGCGATCGTTGCCACTGTTCGAGGAGGCGCATGCATCTTTTACCTTGTGGGTTCCCCGTCTTCACCATCGTCGAGCGATCCTCTCTCGCGAAGGTATCTTTTTTTAGTGTCACATATTTTTATATGCTAAATTATTTATTTTCTGGTACTTCGCATATCTCACTGATTCCTATCTCCTATTCTCCTCGTTGCATGATTCATTGTGGGATACACTGGAGCACGGACTGGACGTCGACGGTTAGGAGCAAGCAAAGAGAACGCGTCCGCAGCTGTCACGGTGGTGAGATTCCTTAAACTCCTAGCTAGCCCTAGGTTTAGTGGCGTCTAGGCGTGTGGGTTCGATCGCCCACACGGGGTGCGTGCGCCGACATGGGTCGGCGCGACGACGTGCCTGTGTGATGGATCGTCGATTTCCTAGAGCTAGCCTTTAGGTTAGGACTTTCTGTGCGCAACCAAACGCCCTCCGCAGAACCGAGTGTCTCCCATTTGTTGTGAGCCTTAGCACAAGTCCCGATGGGTCAGAGTCTCTCGCTCCCCTTGCTTTGGGGTTCCCCAACTTTACTTGGAGAAGCTAGGGGGTCGGACTTGGCAAAACGAGAGAAGCTTCGTAGCTGGCTCGCTTTGCAAAGTCTGGAGGAGTTCGCGAAATGGTTAAAGCTTTATAGCTAGCACATTTCGCGACGCAATGGAGAGTTTTTCCTTCGGAGATCCGGGGAGAAAACTCCCCACATTCCTTCACCAAAACAAGAGGCGACGGTGTCGCATATCCAAGGGTCTAAACCTTAGGTTTCCTAGGCGAGGTCGTTAGTACGAGCGTGGCTCGCTATCATATGTGGTCATTTGCACCTCATTGTTTGCATATGTGTGTCTTGCATTGTTAAATATTGCGTGTCATATATCACATTTGCACTTGCACCTGCACCTTGCACCTTGCACTTGCTTGTTGCACTTGCACTTGCACTTGCATCTTATATCTTGCACATGCACTTGCACTGACACCACTTGTGCCTCGATCAGTTATTCTGAACCAGTCACGTCACTTGTGTTTCAGCCGACTACCCCAGCCCGATTGGCACAACACTTTGTTTTGACTGGATACTCCATCCCGATCAACCGACCACTTGCTCATTTGTATGTTGTGTATGTGCATGTATATTTTGTCTGCATGATTAATAAATATCATTTACTTGAGTTGTATTTCTTCAAGTCACTGCCTTACCGGCATACCTCTTTTCGGGTCCCTGCCGCTACGGCATGCCTACCTCTGGGTCACTGCCTTACAGGTAACCTTCTTTTCGGGCCCCTGCCGCCACGGC